AGAGAGAGAGAGAGAGAGAGAGAGAGAGAGAGAGAGAGAGAGAGATAGAGAGAGATAGATTGGACAACTTGTTTTCTTTGTCATCCTCAGAGCAATATTCTACCGAAACACGTTTCTGGATACGAGTTCCTGGCCCGCATAGCCTCTTGCAGCACACAAGTGCACAATGCGTTGAATACCAACAACAACAACAACAACAACAACAACAACAACAACAACAACAACAACAACAACAACAACAACGGACCAGGAGGCTCCGCAGGCGGGCTCATGGCAATGAGCAGTTTGGTTTTTCTCTCAACTTCATCTCTTATTGTCTGGTTCAGACTGTAAATATTCCATAACGGACTTTCGGTGTTTTTTTTAATTGTTTTTTCTCTCTCTCTTTTTCGTATTTTTTAACGTGTTTTAGGGAGTTCGAAACTGTATAAGGTCATATGAGCGTGCGGGACATATTTAACATTTTCAGTTTGGTAGAAAATTTTGAATTTCGCCCGGTTGGCGGCCGAAGCCTACTCTTATCGATTTTGGACTCCAAGGGATCTTTAATGAGCGCAACTTGCACACGAGACCTCCGAGATTTTTCGCCCTTATCCAAGAAGGCTAGGTGTTAGATATTACTTGCTATAAGACCAGGGGTGTGGCTTAAAGAAAGCAGTAAGGAGCCAGGGAGTAGCAATAGAAAGGCTGCAGAAAGAGTCGGGAGCCCAGAAGAGGGGGCAAAGAAGGTAGGGAGGTGAGTGCAGAACGTCGGGACGAGAGCAGACGACAGAACAATTTTTAGAGAACAGGGAAGGAAGTGAAAGGAGACAATTTTTAGAGAAGGAATTTTCCGTCGTTATCCCGATTCGAACCCGGGACCTATTAAAGGAGAGGCGAAGAAAGTAACCTCTCGGCCACCACGAGAGTCCCCGGGCTTTCGTTGTCTTTAAAGACCACATTTGTTTATTTATTTTTTTGTTTCTTTGTTAGATTGTTTATTTGACAAAAGTTAAATATATTGACGTTGAGTAATTAGGTTTTTCAGTCAGCTTTTTCTGTTATGGCCTTGTTCAGACAGTAGATAAATGCACGTCACAGTCAGGGCCGTCGAGAGCCTTGTCGGGCTCTGGGGCAGCGATCACCTTCGGGCCCCTCCCCCCCCCCTTGCGGTCTCACCCACCCTCACATGCAATTTCATAACCCAACATAAGACATAGGCATATATAATCACTTCACTGTAGCATATCTATTACATACCAACATAATACGCTCTCTCTCTCTCTCTCTCTCTCTCTCGCTCTCTCTCTCTCGCTCTCTCTTTCTCTCTCTTTTTTCTCTCTTTTTTCTCTCTCTTTTCCCCTTTCTTGCGGGCCCCCCAAACCCACGGGCCCCGGGGCATTGGCCCCCCCTGACCCCCCCTCTCGACAGGCCTGGTCACAGTTGACTCTTGTTGTCTCCTAAGATTACATAATGTGCACGTTTCTTTCTTCGCTTGTTTGGGTGTTTGTTTGAACAAAGAGAAGGACAGAGTCATTCTGGTTTTCTCTTATATTTTTCTCTCTTTACCCGATTCAAAGACTAAGAATGTCACAACGGGCTTCCATTGACTCAAATTATCACATGTGTATGTTCGTTTGTTTATTTGTTTGTTTGTTTGTTTCACTAAGGAGAAGAACTTCGACAATGAGTTGTTTGGTTTTTGTCTCAGTTTTTTTCTCTTATAGTTTTGTTCACAGAGCAATATATCACGACGGGCTTCTGTTTTCTTTAATGGTCTTTCGCTTTTCTTTGTTTCTTAGTATATTTGTTTGTTTGAGTAAGGAAAGCACATAGGAAAAGTAATTCTGATTTTCTTATGTATTTTTTTTATGATGATGATAATGATGATGACGATGATGACGATGATGACGATGATGACGATGATGACGATGATGATGATGATGTTCCTGAAGAAGCCCATAAGGGCAAAACGTTGAATATATATTTTGTAATACTATAAAACTTCAAATACTCAAGTCTCCACCAATTTGTAGATTTTTTTTACCGTATTTACGACGACGACGACGACGACGACGATGATGATGATGATGATGATGATGATGATGATGATGATGATGATGATGATCAGTACTGTTATTTGTATTACGTATTATTGTTGTTATCGTTGTCATTGCAGTTGTTGATATCACCTCTTTCGTCAGCACGATAATCATTAACTTCAATAGCATTGTTATCTTTTCTGTTGTGTCAACAACAACAACTACTACTAATACTACTACTACCACTACTACTACTACTACTACTACTACTACTACTACTACTACTACTACTACTACTAGTAGTAGTCAAGGAAAAAATTACCCTTCCATCTTCAACAGAAGTGAAGATATTTTGGATTGAAGGAGGTGGGGGTCGCTTGATTTAAGAGGCAAAATTAGCGAGAAAATGGCCGCCAAAGCTTGGTAAATTCCAAAGCTGGAGAGTCCATGGAAACTGTAAATTTATATTTTTGTACCTTTAATCAACGTTTTCGGTGAAATCCTTAAAGGAATGTGTTTGTAAATAGACATTAAAGGTGTTGAGCGAAAAAAAAATTTGATAAAAATTGCTAAGCACGGAGAAAACTGCTGTTTTCTTCGATTTCATTATTTTGACGAGAGCCTGATTCCACCCCAATGCCTCACATTTGTATGCTCGCCTTTCATTCCTTTAACTACCAACACAATGATGTGGTGATACAGGAATTCCATTTCTTTATACTGAGTGCCTTCACCTGTTTTCACAGGGCGTTATTATATAATACCATAGTGAGACAGTGTGGTGGAATTAGGCGCTTGTCAAAATAATGAAATCTGAGAAATCGGCCTTTTCGTGCTGATTTTATAATTTTTTTCAAATTTTTGTTCTTTGGTTCAACGCCTTTTGTATCCAATGAAAAACACATTTCAGTGACAATTTCAGTGGAAAAAAAAGTTGATAAAAGGCACAAATATGTAAATTGTTTGTTTCTAAGGTCTCTCAAGCTATGTAAAACAAGAGGCGGGCATTTTCTTGCTAATTTTACCTCTGAAATCAGGCGACCCCCACCTCCTTCAGTTGCAAATATCTCGACTTCAATTCAAGATAGATGGTTAGTTTTTTTTTATCACAAGCAAGACTGATGTACAAGCTTTATAATGGTTCCAATAACTCCACATATAAACAAAATTGACGAGAGCCTGTTCCACCACGCCGTAATACCATAAAGATGCGATAGCTCTAATGTATTCATAGTTCTCATCTGGTGAGATTTTAAGCCCCTGCGCCTTGCCTGAATGAATGATCATGCATTTTTACACCCCGATCAACACATTCCGGTGTCTGTGATACAGTTGTGAAGCTTTTCCACACCTCTTGTACAATTTAAATCAATTATGAGGCGGGCTGCTGCATGCGGGCTTTCCTTTCAGGACCAACCCGGGCTGTATGGGGTGCGACATGCTTTCTATTTTTAGATTAATGAAAGTTATTTATACACATAAAAGGAAGATTTCTAAAACTCTAAATTTTTTTTCTCGACGAAGTTTTATACATTTTTTTAACAATGAAATTAGTAAAAACAGGTCTTTAGACGTATATATGTATATAATAATATATATATTTTTTTATTGTTCGTGAATATTTAACCAGATTTTACATTATTTATGTGACTTACTGATGAATTTCAGGCCCTTGTCAAAATAATGAATTCAGCAACCGACGAATTCCTTGCTGTTGGGCAATTTTATTTTTTCAATTTTTTCTTTTCTTTTCGTTCAAAACCTTTCTGTGTGGATTTTTACTGCAGAATATAAATCAAAAAGAAATAAAACTGTAAATGTGTTTTTTTCGAGGACTCTCAAGCTTCGGAAGTCACTCAAATTTGTTTTGTTTGTTTTTGTAAAGTGTTTTACGGCGCTCGCAACTGCATAGGTCATATGAGCGCGCGGGACACACCTAATATTTTCAGTTGGTAGGAAATTTGGAATTTTGCCCGGGTGGCGGCCGAAGCCTACTCTTATCGATTTTAGACCACCAAGGGATCTTTAACGTGCGTAACTTGCACACGGGCCCTCCGAGATTTTTCGCCCTTGTCCGAGAAGGCTAGGTGTAGATCTTTCCTCCCAGAAGATCAGGGGTGTGGCAGAAAGACAGCAGTAAGGAGGGGCCAAGGAGTAGCAGTAGAAAGGCAACAGAAAGAGTCAGGAGTCCAGAGGAAGGGGCAAAGGAGGTGAGGGGGTGGGGGCAGAAAGTGGAAATGAAAGCAGACAACAGAACATTGCTAGAGAGCAGGAAAGGAGGTGAAAGGAGACAATTTTAGAGAAGAAAATTTTTTGGTCGCTACCCGGATTCGAACCCGGGACCTTTGAATGAGAGGCCAACACCTTAACCTCTAGGCCACGAGAGCCCCACTCAAATTTGGCCGCCATTTTCTCGCTAATTTCACCGGTGAAACCCCACTTCCTTCATGCAATAAACATGTTGTTTTCTATTCAAGATAGATGAGTACATTTTTCATGAAAAACAAGACAAATAAACAAGCCAATACCAACTTGTCCTGTTTTTTTTGGGGTTTTTTTGGAAAGTGTTTTACGGCGCTCGCAACTGCATAATGTCATATGAGCGCGCGGGACACACCTAATATTTTCAGTTGGTAGGAAATTTTGAATTTTGCCCGGGTTGCGGCCGAAGCCTACTCTTATCGATTTTAGACCACCAAGGGATCTTTAACGTGCGTAACTTGCACACGGGCCCTCCGAGATTTTTCGCCCTTGTCCGAGAAGGCTAGGTGTAGATCTTTCCTCCCAGAAGATCAGGGGTGTGGCAGAAAGACAGCAGTAAGGAGGGGCCAAGGAGTAGCAGTAGAAAGGCAACAGAAAGAGTCAGGAGTCCAGAGGAAGGGGCAAAGGAGGTGAGGGGGTGGGGGCAGAAAGTGGAAATGAAAGCAGACAACAGAACATTGCTAGAGAGCAGGAAAGGAGGTGAAAGGAGACAATTTTAGAGAAGAAAATTTTTTGGTCGCTACCCGGATTCGAACCCGGGACCTTTGAATGAGAGGCCAACACCTTAACCTCTAGGCCACGAGAGCCCCACTCAAATTTGGCCGCCATTTTCTCGCTAATTTCACCGGTGAAACCCCACTTCCTTCATGCAATAAACATGTTGTTTTCTATTCAAGATAGATGAGTACATTTTTCATGAAAAACAAGACAAATAAACAAGCCAATACCAACTTGTCCTGTTTTTTTTGGGGTTTTTTTGGAAAGTGTTTTACGGCGCTCGCAACTGCATAATGTCATATGAGCGCGCGGGACACACCTAATATTTTCAGTTGGTAGGAAATTTTGAA